AGCTCCGTGCGTCGACCTCCCCTATCTAGGAGAAGAATGAACTTCTGGCGACATGGCACGTGGATGTGTTAGATTTTATATCTGAGATAGCGCGGGTCGGGTGACATCAAAAAGCAGTACTTAGGGCCGTCCACATCGCAAGGTCAGACAGAAATTCTCGTACCAAGACGGTTGTATTATTTTGTTATCGTTCTAAACATTATTAAGCCACTAAAAATTTTCGATATAAAAAAAAAACATTTGATTAAAAACACTATTCGTTTGTGCTACTGTTATCATCATGCATAATTTGGAAACAAACATGCGCTGCACCGTCTGTCTGTAAAAATCTTGGTCAACATGGTTCCCGAAAAATCCCGGGATATCCCGATGAATCCCGATTTGATGCTTATCCCGTGTACTGTACTGTGTTATCCCGAAAAAGATTGAAACTGTCAGACAAAACGACAAAATGTAATGTCACATCCATGTTTATATAAACGTACGTAAACAAACGCCCCCCTCCCCGGCCCCGCCACCCACATTACAAAGTCGACAATAGTTACAGATGAACACAATTCTGTTTACTTTATTTTCAAAACGGCAGCAAGCCTAAATCACTATACATACGAGATTCTATCAAGTCAGGAGCTAGTGTAAATTATGAGTGTTTTTTTTTTATTTGTAGCCGGCGGTGACATGCAAAAAATTACACAAAGTCGCCGGCGTTCTGTGGAAATCTGCAGTCCTAATTGTGGATATTGAACCCCCAAATCCCAATGCAATATTCTCTACTCGAGACTGGTATTCATATGACCCGTATTTTTACGAAGAAAAATGAAAACTGACCGCTGACATTGATCCACCGATCTCTTCTCGTGTCATACAAGGGCGGATGCCCATATTTGGAAATCTCGGGTGTTCCGTGCGTAGCGCTAGGGTCATTGACCGCGGTTATCGAACACGCTGTTCCATTGTTCCATGGTTGTTCGAATGTTCCAAACGCGTTCTTTTTGTTCGATTTTTGGCTTAAAATGCAACTTTTTTCACCCATTTTTTGCCAATAAAATCATTTTCTGACATCTATGTTGGCCAAAATGACCAAGGTTCAATGTCTAACGTACCAACCTACCAGCATGCTGAATTTCATTTTCCTCCAAGCTCTAATTACGAAAATATCTACGATTTTTAGGTGTTTGGAGAAGAGGAAGAGGAGGAGGAGGAAATGAGCAAATATAATATGTTTTCCTTCGGTAAACATAAATAGTAAAATTGCTTCAACTGTTCTAGAATGGATGCAAAAATCCTGTCATCTACATGGCCTACATATCTTTTATGATTACAGCAAAAAGTTACTGCTCTTGCATTACATACATCACACTATCATAATAATTACAACTAGAGAGAAGGGTGAAAGATGCCTTACCAAATCCCATGTCAAACATCCTGTCAGCCTCATCAAACACCAGGTATGTCACTCTCTGCAGGTTAGTGGCCTTCTTCTTCACAAGGTCTATCAGACGGCCCTAGTCAACAAGAAAATATTCTGTTTGCTTCTTTTCTACTTACACCAAACAACTCTACCCTTGTATACCATCAATCAAAGGTATAAAACAAATACATCATATATTTTCATGGAAGTGTTCGAAACATCATCAACTTTCTTGGCTACTTTTATCTCAAATCATTGCATCTACTAGAATTTGTAGGGAACATACGTCATGTGCATCTGATACAATGTGGGACTGTTGAAGTTTATTATATACGTTAAACAATCAGCAGAGCAAGATGTAGAGTTAATTGTATTTGATACACCACTGTGACACCTACTAGTACTAGTGAAAAAGAGCAAAGTACCGGTAGCAAATTATTCCCTGCATTGGTTTTGTTGTTGTCTTTCTGACTATAGCTGGTATAACCTCCCTTCTGCGTAACGTACCAGCTTTGCAGGCACACGGTGTGGCGGCAGCTGGCTACATTACACCGAACGACTTGTTACACCTAACCCTTGGACATCTAACTCTAAACATTGTTTAAAGCTATCTAATGATAATGCCCCTATTGTACTTGGTGACAGCAAGTTCCACTCTGCGATATTTCTAGGAAAGAATGAGTTTTCAGATTCTAAAACGAGAAACTGTTCTTACCGGAGTGCAGACGACGATCTCAGCGCCCAGTTGTAGAGCCTTGGTCTGTTCCCACATACTCCCTCCT